AACCTGCCTTGGGTGCACCCACTTGAATCAGATTGTACACGATTGATTCAACCATTGCTGGAACAAGGCCGATCCCCAAACAAAAATGGCTGAGGTAGGGGCAAGTTGTGTGCACATGCATGCAATGAAACATAGTTCGAACAACAGGCTCCTAAAGCAGAAAGTCGCCTCCAGAACTTTGTAGCCGTAGTGCCCATGCTTCAAGAAGAGCAGGCATTGACCTGTACCACATGGCAGAGTATGGATCTTTTGAACGATCTGATTGAACCAGACTGGACTTCAAAAAGCTTGAAGGCTAGCCCTTCTCATTTTTCTCCCCATTCGCTCACGTGGTCATGTGCATAGCTAGCTGAAGCTACACACACACATGAAAGAACCCCTAGAATTTCACCAGCCATAGCTAGCTCCATGACTTTCAGAAGCTAGCAGCCAGTCCCAATAGAGAGCCAAAGGCTCACATCAAAGCCACGATCCACCAAGGGCTCACATCGAAGCCACGATCCAAAGCACGATAATCATTGGGTCGCATCATAAGCCTCAGAATCGATTGGAGTGCAATGCAAAACCAGCAGGTTTGAGCACATGCAACCTAGCTATAATCCAAGAAACTTTTTTTGCTTCTGCCAATGCCTCTTGCATTGATTTCCCCTCCTTCAAAGCACGTCTTTTGGCAGTGTGGTAGGCAGAAGACTTCCTGCTGTACTTGGCCTTGCGCTCTGCGATCATCTTTTCCTTGTCACCCTTTGCTGACTCCTCTTCTTGTTCCTCACTCTTGTCGTCTCTTTTTCTCTTCGACCCAGAGCTGGATCCTTTCTCAGACTTCTTTCTTGCAGTCTTCTCGCTTTCTTTGTCTGACTTCTTTGCAGTCTGTTTGTCGGCCTTCTTCTTGACTTCTTCATCCTCAGGCTCCACGACATGCTTGTCAACTTTCTTCTTAAGATTCCTTGCTGATCCTTCTCCTGACTCCTTCTCAGTCCTCTTTGCCCTTTGTCTCTTTGGAACGGTTTCTGACTCCTCATTCTCCTCCTCAGCAGCCGAACGTTTTCCTGACTTCTCATCTTGCTTCTCATTGTTCTTCAATCTTTTCTCGGTCTTCTCTTTTGCAGTCTTCTCACTTTCCTTCCTTTTGGCATTTTTGCATGCCTCCTTTGCAGCCTGTTTGTCTTCCTTAATCTTTGACCGACGGCCTTTTGATCCCTCAGCTGCATCATCCTTCTTGTCAGCCTTCTTCTTTGCTACAGCCTTCTCACACTTCTCAGCAGTCTTGGCCTTCTTGTTCTTTGCATTCTCAGGCTCCTCTTCTTCCTTGTCAGCCTTCTTCGTTGATCTCCTTCCTCCTGATTCCTTCTTTGATTCCTTTGCCTTGGGCTTCTTTGTTTCCTTCTTCTTCTCCTCTTCCTCCTCTGGTTCTTCCTCGTCCTCTTGGTCATCAAGACTTTCCTCTTCATCATCACATTCGCTGTCAGCCACTTCATAATATAGTGTCGCATCACTGCCTGCAGTCTTCGGACGCCTACCACGACCTCGGCCTTTGCCACGTCCACGGCCTTTTGCAGGCTTCTGCTCCCTCTTCTTGCGAGGGGCTTGGGCATCTGCTGAAACAATGGGCACCAAGGCCAAGCAACCAGGCCTTTTACCTTTTGTGTCTTCGGAGACACTGCTGTCTTCATCCTCATCTTCTTGGTCCTCCTCCTGCACTTCTGCTTCGGCCTCATGTTTTGTCTCCTGTCGCTCCTCTGGCTTCTCCTCTTTGACTTGCGCAGCTTTCTCTTCTTCAGCTTTCACTTCACTCTCTTCAGCTTCCTCTTCCGCTTTCTTTTCTACTTCCTCTTCAGCTTTCTTTTCTACTTCCTCTTCAGCTTTCTTTTCTACTTCCTCCTCAGCTTTCTTTTCTACTTCCTCTTCAGCTTTCTTTTCTACTTCCTCTTCAGCTTTCTTT